GAGACCCTGGCAGGAGCAAAGGGATAGGCCCCCTCCCCCCTCCCCCCCCCCCGCCCTCCCTCCCTCCCCCTGCTCTCCCCAGTTGGCATGGGAGGACCCTGCCCATTAAGCTGATTCCAACTTGACCTCCAGTCGCCTGTGCATGCAAAGGAGCTAGTTTCTGAAACTGGAAGGATTTCTATCTCCTCCCCTCTCAGGAAAGGCAAGGCAAGGCAGGGACTGTGACTCAGAGCAGGATGATTCAACACAGCCTTGGTTTCCAGGAGATTTGTGAAGGTCAGATTCAGAGACCTGATCTTAGAGGACTCTCACAGGATGGGTGGGGAGAAGGACAGGAAGGGGCTGACTCCTTGAACCTGAGCAGGCTGGTCTTTCAGCCCAGCAAAGTCCAGCAGAGGTCAGAGGAGAGGCTCTGGAATTGGGGAAGGGGGCGGGGTGAGGCGAAGACCCTTCTCTCCTCCCCACGCGGAGCCAGAAAAAGAGCCCACTTTAAAATGGCCCATTGATGAAGAGGATCAAGGAAGGGGGTCTAAACATGTCTTTTAAATTGATCCCATTGTTTTGATTTTCATTTTTTATTCCAAGGGCTATCAACTGTTGCAAGGAAAGCCTCAGGTATGACAATTAAACCCAGCAGCTGGATCTACCAAGGAGTGGGCGGCAAGCCCCTTCCGAACCCAGCATATCTAGGACGAGCGACAGGAGACTGATTTACAGGAGGTGCCGGGCTAGAACGGGAATTTCAGCATACAATGAACTGTGAACAAAGAGGTCAATAAACTTCAACTTCAACCTGTGGCTTGTGGTTTTCTTGCTGATTCCTGCTGTGGCTTAGCGTGATGTGCCAAGGGAGACATACATTTGGCTAGTGATTGGCTGGTTTATTCTTGGTTTGTCTTTGCATTCCCCAGAGACCCTCACAGAGGGAGGAAAACAGAAAAGCTAAAACAGAAGAACAAACCGGGAATTGGCCAGAGAAGCTACGAAGAGTCTGCATGACTGATCTGGCTTGTGCAAATATGCACGCGCACACACACACACTGCCTTCACGTCAGTTTTTGACTCCTGGCGACTGCCTGGACAAGCCCCCGCAGTTTTCCTGGCAAGGGTTTTCAGAAGTGGGTTGCCCCGGCCTCCTTCCCAGGGCTGAGAGAGCGGGCCTGGCCCAGGGCCTCCCAGCTGGCTTGGTGCCTAAAGTGAGACCAGCACTCAGGGTCTCTTGGTTTTCAGCCTGATGCCTTAACCATGACACCAAACTGGCTCTCCAACAAACCACTGTTAAGATAAGCTATAGTTTAGCTATGTGAGCTTGCCCGGTCAGTCGGTCTGGTGCCAGCTTTCGGAGAGGTGTCCCCCAGCCCCCCCCATGTAAGAATGGGATCCAACAGCATCCAAGCCTAATTATTATGTTTTAACTGAATTTACCGCCTGCCTTTCTGCCTAGTAGTTATGCAAGCCCCGTGCGCAGACAGAACATGCTCTCTGTCTAAATCCCAACATAACATCACAATGTGCAATTCAGAAGACCTGAGAAAGTTGCTAGGATAAGCCCTGCGGTTGTGCCCTTGGCTAGAGCTGTTGGCCGGAGGAAAAGGGGCCGCACGGCACAGGAGGCGCATGGGCCAGGCCAGCACAGCGCAAGGATGAACAGGAGATCCAACAGAAGAGCCTCCGTGTAGCTCAGGGCTGAACTGCGGAGTCCTTGGTGCGCTCCGAGCTGGGTGGCTGGCTTGCAGGCGTTTCATGACCCAGCTAGGGAACATCATCCGTGCGAGGGGGTGTGGGCATGTTTACGAAGATTCTGCCATCCAGGTGGAATCGTCTGGAGGCTGAGTCATGGCAACCGGACCTCTTTTCCTTTTCTTTTTGGTTAGAGATGTTTTGCTACTTGGGGTGGGGTTTGGGGCGTGGGGTCTGCTCCCTGTTTATATGCAGCAGCGTGCCCTAGCAGTGTGGCTGGGGGTGTGACTTTCTCCTCGATAAGAGTACTGTTTTCTGCTCGATTGTTTGCCTGCATTAATCCTTATTTATCTGGGATTGGTGTTAATCCCTGCTTATTGGGGTGTTGGCTGCTGGAGAGGATGTGTTCCGGTCTTTTTGGTTCCTTCTTAGCTTTTTATTGTCTCTTCTGAATGGTGCATAAATGTGGTTTACCTCTGTGTGTCCACTGATGGCTGATACGTCTAAGTGCCTAGCTTCCAGGAATTTCCTAATGTTTTTGGATGTAGCTTGGTCTAGGATGGTCAGAGTTTCCCCGTTGAAACTGTGGTTGAGTCTGTAATCTCACAACACATGGACAGACCCCAGGGAGAAAACCCCACCCTACCTCCCACTGATGATGTTCCCTAGTTGGGTAATGAAACTTCTGCAAACCAACCACCAAGCTCAGAGAGCATCAAGTAATCCACATGAACAGAAGTGCTCAGAGGCGTCCCCAGCTTTGAGCAGCCGTTCCTACCCCTTGAATTCACACCGGGGCCGCCAAGGGCCTGCATTCCTGCCTTTCACTGGCTCTGAGCGGCTTTTCCAGCCGAACCCGTGATTCTGAGCAAAAGGAAAACCCAGTAATTTCCAGTAATTCTGGAATTACTGCAGGGTGACACTGAAGTCCCCTTTTGCTGCAATGTGCTACAGGGGCACAACATTTGCTCGCTGAAGTGCCCCGACTGGGAATGTCCTCTCCCTGTCCACAGTCCAGTGGGGCCATTTCAAGAGCTGGGTTGGACCGTGGCCCTGAATGGCTTTGCTGCAGTCATGCTGGGACAACAGAGACGTGTTTCCTCACCCGCAAAGCCCTGGTGGAGATGGCCTTTTCCCTCCCCTGCTTCTGCGAAAGAGGGGCAGTGAACTTGCCCTTGGAGAAGAACCCAGGTGGCCTTCCCAAACTGGATGCCCTCCAGCTGGAGCTGGGCTACAAGTCTGATCATCCGCAGCACGGCATGGTGGTGGTGGTGGGGCAGATATATCAAGTTGGGGATGCTTCTGTTTCAGAGCCAGCAATTATCCCCCCATGGTGATTTTGACAGCACTTCTTTGCAGGATCCCCTCACACAAAGGATGGGTGGGGAGAGGGTTGCTTCATGAGGGAGGAGTTCATGAATGTGCTAGGGGATCTGCTCCTTTTTAGAGTCAGCACCACCAAAATTAGTCTGCTTCGGGGAAGGACAGCATTGTTCTGTGGCTGGTCACAACTACCCCTCCCATCACCACCAACCAGGCATTGGACTACACCACCCATCAGCTGGGGAGAATGGCCAGAAGCTGGACTCCCCGATGCTGTTTCGAGGAAGGGGAGGACTCCGGGGAGGGGGAGGCGAGTAAACTTCTGGGCTGCGGTAAACTTTGTTGATGTTTTTGTTGCAATTATGTTGTCCTCGTCGTCGTCATTATACTGGCATTACTGCTATCGTACTACTATTATGAAACATTCCCACAGGTAAGATCAACTGAACATTAGAAGTTGCAAAAACGAGGCGTCCTTAAGCGCCCTGGTCTTACTCCTGGGAAGCAGCGCCCTTCTCCGGCCGGATGCCTGGCGGGCAGCGGATGGGATTGGTCGTCTGACTCGCCGGGGGGCTGGGGGGAAGGCTGGGCTGGGAGGTGTCGGGAGCTAGACTCCGGCCGGGGATGATGGGGGTTGCAGTCTCTCCCGGCGAGGCAAGCGGAGCCCCGGGGCGCCGGGGGTGCCCCC